AAGATAAAAGATAAGGTAGGAGGAGTGACACAAGGGCCTGGTAACATTGAGGTTGAAAATATCTGATCTACGATGCCCACAGGCCAGATGGAGGTGGAATATACCTTCAAAGAGAGGTGAAACAGAGAACACATAGACAGAGGTTCGATTGGAGGTAAAGTGAGGGCATGAAGAACCATGTTAATGTCCCAATCCTGGAGTGACGAATGCCTTGGTGGCCGATGGAGATGGATGGAACAGCTCAACATGGAAAGGACAGGGAAAGCAAAGACCCTGCAGAAGTAAGAAAAATGGAATGTATGGGATAACGCTGCCCAAAACCCTGAATTCAAGGAGACCTAAGAATCCCTCTCAAAAAGCCACCAGCCCACCTGCTCAGCTTCAGCTGAGAGCTGACGAACATGACAGGCCGATTCCCAATCGAAATGAACAAGAAGAAGCCAGTTGTCCATATAAACATAGAAGTGCAATCCCATGGCATGAATGTGTCGAGCAAATGAGCAGACCACATGACAAAACACATATAGTGCCAAGGCTAAGCTGAAAGGTAAGGCATGAAACTAGTACACAACTCCCCGATGGACAAACCAAAGATATGGATGGGAATGCTCCCCCACAGGAATGTGTAAGTAAGCATTGGAAATGTCCAACTTGGTCATTCAAAGACCTGTAGAAAATGCCTCCAGAAGAGAGAGGTATGTCTTTATGGTAAAGCGAGGAGTGTGAACATACTGATTGAGACAGGATAAATCGATGACAGTATGCCAGTCCCTGGTCTTCTTGGGAACGTCAGGAGTAAAACCCTCATGAACCTGTTGGAGTTGGTTTAATAACCTGTAGTTGATGAGGTCCTGAACCATCTCTGACAGAAACTGGTGTGTCGAGGGATCCCGAGGAGAAGGGAACACTGGATAATGGAGGAAGGGAGAGTAAGGGGATAACATATCCCTCCATGAGCACCCTGTGAACCGAGACATTTGTGAGAAAAGGTCCCCACAGATGAACTAAATTCAAGAGGTGAGCCCCCACTGGGCCCGAACCGATCACATAGTCACCAGTACTGCTCGTGGTAGATTGTGCATCATCGAACTGTGGCACTGCAGAAGGGTGGGACAGGAAGAGGCTGGGAAAGGGAAGATCAGGGAAGAGGAAATGGTGCCTTGCTCGGCTCCGACTGGGACAAATGAGCTACCAAATTAGCAAGGGTAGAATGTTGATGAGCCAAGGCCACCCACAACTCCAAAGACTCAGAAACTTAGTCAAACACATAACACTGCAAAAACAGCACCACGAGGAGGTCTCTCAGGTAAGGAGCCAAGAGATGGGTCCAGGCCAAAACCACACACGGCCCAAGAGGTCCCAATAACAAACAAACCACGTTTGAAGTGCAAGAGCTGAATATGACAAATGAGCCAACATAGAAGTAAGGATGGAGAGGCTTTAAGCAGAAAACCCTTCAGGGTTCCTGTGAAGAGCCTCTGACAGAAGGTGAAGGGAAGAAAGGTACCTTAACATGGTCGTGAGGGTGAGAAAATTAGGCATGGATAAGTTGGACAGGGTAATCTAAGTTTGACCCCCAAACAGGGAGAACCGACCCCAGCAACTGTTGGTCGAGAAGAGGAAAGTCTGCCTGATGGTAAGCAAGGCTGGACTGACCCAAAGTCCATGGGGGATGAGGCATACTAACACTCTCCCCCAGTTGAGAGGCAAATTAGTCCGCATGAACCCTAATATCGAGGAGTGGGGGAAATAGTAAATAGGGGTGGGAAGTTGTTTCATGTAAGATGGAAGGTCTAGGGCCATAGGAAACAGGTGTAAGACAAAACACCACATACTTGAGAGATAAAGCTTGAAAAGACTGATGACGTATAAGTTGAATCATCAGGTAGTGAACGGGAAGACGGGGCAAACTCCAGGGGAACAAACAATCAAAATCATCTTCAGTCTGGCCCAGCTTGAAAGGCTTAGGAAGAAGTGGGGCAGAAGTAGGCAAGAAAGGTTGGCTCATATACTGCCCAATCTCCTGGCAAATAAGCAACGATATTTCCCCCGACGGGTTGCCTGCGCCTGAAAATACAGCATCAGATGCTGGCAAAGTACCCAAAGTGGTGATTGTAACTTCAGAATTCACAAGCAGGAAAAACAGGGAACTGATGCTATATTAAAATATTAACTCAAGAACTGTGAAGTGTAGTAAATAAAATTAAGAAAATATAACAATGAAAAATAAACCTCTTGAAGGTAACTGAACAATGTAAAAAAGAATGTCTGAACTTGACAGCTGCCAAATGAGAAGTGATAGTTCAGTAGTGGTGCATAGAGGGAGTAACATTCGTCATGTGATAGTAGTGGTCTCCCGTTGGTGGAGGGGTGATGCATGATAATTTGCATGAGAGACATGTTGGAACTGTGGATTCCAACAGAGGGAGGATGAAGGATTGTGGCATGCGTTTCTGAAAAAGTTTGCATATAGGGGGCAAGTAGGGTAGAGGGAGAGTACCCTATCAGAAACTTTATCATAAATGTATAATGTTTCGACATTAATATGTCCTGATGAAGACATAATGTCATCAAAACATTGTATATTTTTAATACAGTTTTCTTCATTACCAATTCAAGCTGTCTCCAAACTTATGTTTTCTAAAAAGTGGGTTCCTTGTCATCAAAAGAAAGAATACAATGCTGGGAACTGACTTGATGTACAATAACCACCCACCCACAGAGAACTTGAGGTACACTATCCCCAAACAAACAATTCCCTTAGTTGTTTTTTTCTAAATCCCAAAATTTTAACAGCAAAAGTTACAAATTTCAAATCAACAAGATTTATTGGAACACAAAAAATGCTTTAACACATGAAAACTTTTTCCCGTGCTATGTCTCTTTCTCTGATATGTACATACATTTATTTATATACACAAACACCCTTGCTAAAAGTATACGATTACTCCATAAAGATACAACTTGGCTCTGCAAGTGAACGTACCAACTTGGAAGATTATTACTGAAGAGTGAGTATCATAAAAATATTGTGGATTGTACTAGTTTTATAAAAGGGAAATTATACATCAGTCACACTACTTAATCTGTTCTATTGTACTTCCTAAACATTCAGTCTGTTCTATTGTACTTCCTAAACATTCAGTCTGTTCTATTGTGCTTCCTATACATTCAATCTGTTCTATTGTACTTCCTAAACATTTAATATGTTCTACTGTGCTTCCTAACCATTCAATATATTCTATTGTGCTTCCTAACCATTCAATATATTCTACTGTGCTTCCTAAACATTCAATCTGTTCTATTGTACTTCCTAAACGTTTAATATGTTCTACTGTGCTTCCTAATCATTCAATATATTCTATTGTGCTTCCTAACCATTCAATACGTTCTATTGTGCTTCCTAACCATTCAATACGTTCTATTGTGCTTCCTAACCATTCAATACATTCTATTGTGCTTCCTAACCATTCAATACGTTCTATTGTGCTTCCTAACTATATTGAATGGTTAGGAAGCACAGTAGAATATATTGAATGGTTAGGAAGCACAATAGAATATATTGAATGGTTAGGAAGCACAGTAGAACAGATTGAATGGTTAGGAAGCACAATAGAATATATTGAATGGTTAGGAAGCACAATAGAATATATTGAATGGTTAGGAAGCACAGTAGAATATATTGAATGGTTAGGAAGCACAATAGAATATATTGAATGGTTAGGAAGCACAGTAGAATATATTGAATGGTTAGGAAGCACAATAGAATATATTGAATGGTTAGGAAGCACAATAGAATGTATTGAATGGTTAGGAAGCACAATAGAATATATTGAATGGTTAGGAAGCACAATAGAACGTATTGAATGGTTAGGAAGCACAATAGAACGTATTGAATATTCTACTGTGCTTCCTAACCATTCAATATATTCTATTGTGCTTCCTAACAATTCAATATATTCTATTTTTGCTTCCTAACCATTCAATGTTCTGTTGTTCTTCCTAGCCATTCATTATGTTCTATTGTGATTCCTAGCCATTATATGTGTTCTATTGTGCTTCCTAACTACTCAATCTGTTCTACTGTGTTTCTAGTCATTTAATTATATTTAAATTTATAGGCCACGATTATGATAGCTGAAAGTAAAGGGTTGAAAATCATCTTCTTACAATTAACTTCCAGTGATATTACTAATTTCATGTGGCCACGTACAGAGGGGAACCATCTCTGAGGTAGAGGCAGTGCAATCTCCATGGATGTGGGAACTTAGATGGGATGGGTTATACAAATTGTACAAGATCTTCAGAAATACTTAACAATATTAGAAACTGGAAAACTGATTAAAAATTCTTGGTTCACCAAGATTCAAAGTAATGACCAAATATGGGCATGAAGTCTATCCGTAATGTGATTACACATCAACAATGCTCATGGTATCAAGAAATACGAAATGAACATGTTCAAAGAGTTATGTCTGGTTTCAGAGCATTAAAATATTTAAATAGCTTGCCCAAAGCCTAGAACTTAACTCCATACAACATTCAGAAGGGATAATTTAACATTATAGATGACAGTTATCTAGCCCAAATTAAGTGGCCAAACTTTTTTAAGAATGAATAATGGAATCAAACTTGCATTACACAATAGCACAAGTTATAGATGCCAATAGTTGTACATTTAAAAGTACTAGGAGACTGACAGTAAGGGTATCCTTGTATAAAACATTTGGCCTGGCACTGTCTACAACACACATCTTCTTCAGTTTGGATTCCTCTCACATAAGTAGTCTAATACTATATTTTCAAAGGGTTGATGTTGTTGTTTTGAAGTTAAGCAGAAATCTACATAATGGGCTATCTATGCTCTGCCCACCATGGGTATTGAAACCCGGTTTCTAGCGTTGTAAGTCCACAGACATACCGCTGTGCCACTGGGAGGCTTTCCAAAGGAAAATGGGAATTGCTTTAACTAATTCCTTTACATTAACGTTCAAACTTACCATGTAGTCCATACACTGTTTCCTGACCACTGAATGCATTTCTTGGTCACCATATACTTGGTCAGCTAAAAAAAAAAGAGAAAGGAAAAAAAACAAACATAAAGCAGATTAATTTCTTAATCTTCAAGACTTTTAGCTAGCACATGATAATATTCTATATACATTTAAAAATATTGCACATACTACTATTATTTGCCTGTGTGCACTGATGTTTTTCCAAGTAATTGAAACCTACTGTAACTTACTATTACAAGTCCAATAAAGTACGTTTACATTAGAAACATCAATGATCTGTTATTATATTTACCACAGATGGAGAGCTGTTGGGTGAAAAATGTGGTAAAATATAAAAATTCAACCCACCTACTGCACGAAACATACATGCCCCATCTTCTCCCATTTTCTTTATGATATATCCCTTCTTTCTCATTTTCTTTTCAAAAATTTTCTCTCTCTATCAAAGAAAATACTTATTAATAGAGTACACAAGCACTTAGGAAATTCAGATGTGCAGGATGTACAGAGAGAGAGAGAGAGAGAGAAATGTATTTGTTAAGGCATAAAATAAAAAAGTCTAGCATGTTTCGTCAAGGTTTTAACCAAGCAATATACACGTAGCTTTCAATATACGATTGCTTCCTTTATACATGCTATTTTAAGATATTTTAAAGAACAACAATTACTTGAACTTCATAATCTTTTTTTTAGAAACTCCGTATTGAGAAATACCACTTTTTTTTTGAGGTTCTTAGGTATCAGCATTTATCGAAGCCACCCATTTGAGACAGTTTTCACAATTGAATATAAAATAAGTAGAAAATTAACTATAATATGAAGATCTGTTATGACACTCTCATAAAATGTGTGGCTTTCACAAATTCAAACCACTTTTACTAATCCAATATTATAATAATTGCTCTATTTTAAAGACATTTTGTATATAAAATTAGACGAAAATACGGGAAACTACAAAGAACTTCTAGATTTTTCCAGAAGCTAGATACTTCTGTGGCATTACAATCAAATAAATAATCAATTTTGATAAAAAAATTTATCACAACAAAGCCATTTAATCATATTTTGGAAGACAGTATAAAGAAGCACAGTTTGGTAAAAAAAAAGGTTGTTTTATAAAAAGAAAATAATTAGCTGAATAACATGTACATGTAAATATTTACTTGAAAATTTTGCAGAGATAGTCAATCACCAGTTTCAAGAATTAATATGGACCTGCAATCTCAGTCTTGTAAGAACACTGAATAAACTTTTCTTTAAAGTGTACAAAAAATATGCTTTGAAATGCACAATTTATATCCATATTTAACTTTCTGTAATACATTTCTATACACACACATATATGTGTATATATATACATATATATTAAAGAAGGATCAGACAAACATATTTCTTGAATTAGCTGACTCAATATTTTTTTTGTAAAGAATCTGATTGTTATTACGCACAAAGCTACACAATTGGTTATCTGCTCTGTGTTCATGATGAATATTGAAATCTGACTTATAGCATTATAATCCCTCAGACTTATCGCTCAGCCACAGGGGAAACAAATTCATACTGTCCTAGGGAGTTGTGTTTACAGAGTTCAGTGTTCCTGACTTTAATAATTATTTCTTAGTTTACAAAGTTGCAATACAACTGGCATCACAAACGGCTATATCAAAGCACACTCTCAGAAATTCATAAAAAGTTTGCTGTCTCAGTCCTGAAAATGGAACTAATATGGAAGCTTTCTGAGCCTCTCTGGTTGTATATACTAAAATTTTTGGTATCACAATGAGAGATTCTTTTACTTTTTCTCTCATGTCATCAAATACAATGACAATAATATTTCTGAGTTTTACAATACAATATCTGATTTTATTTAAAGGGCTAAGTGAAAACATTATGCCTTCAGACTCAACCTATTTACTTTTACAAATAGAAAAAAAAAGGAATGCCTTTTTTATGACACCTGCCTGACTGTAATAAGTAAGCAAATGCTATGCCTTTGTCCACAGTATTACACCCTGGTGCCAAAAATGTCAAACGTTAATTTCATATTCAAAAACAAAAAATACTACTTGGAGAATTTGTTGATTAGAAACATATTTAGTGCTTACTGGTGATACGTGCACCCAACAACTGTTAGGCCAACATTTCTTCAATTCTCCTTACAGCAAAGTCTAGAATTTCTAGTTAACTACATAAACATCTGTTAACACTTTCAGCAAGATTAATTATACTGGACAAAATATGGAACCTAAGTTATGACAGGGAAGTATATACAAAAAAATCTTACATTTATTTATATATTTGGTACAGGACAAATTTTCTGTTATACCTATAGCAATTTCAGAGATTTGCAATAATGTGTTCATCACATTCAATCTAAAAATACTTTTAAGCATATATTGTTTTGTTTTTTAGTTTCAAGTAGCTTAAAAATGGATATTAAGCTAACAAGGAGACCAAGAATGCTATGAGAGGATCTTTATTCTCTCAACATTTTTGACCACATTCAGTCTTGTATCAGTATCAGGTATGAATTAATAATTTTGCATCTTGCATGTATACAGTATAAGCAACTAATTTTCTAAGCATTTTTATATTTGTTTAGTTACTCTTTTTAAAAAGGAAACACACATATATGATGTTTTATATACTGTAGATCTACTGGAAGTAATGTTGGGTGAAACATTAAGATTAATGGTTCTTCGGAACTGATTGACCATCATTAAATTTAAATAAAAACATTGCAACTTAGCTGCATTTATTTGGAATTATTTTTTATTTCTATATATTTTACTGTCCAAAGAAACAAGCTAAAAATTCATGGCTTAAACTTTGTCCATTGTGTTATTCAAATCATTGGCTTTTATTTTGTATAGCATGATTTTCAATTGATAAGCTTGTCCTAATTTCATTCTCGACATAATAAATTCTAAGAATTGTTTCAGACCATTGATTATCTAACAAATGATCAACTTGGCTACATCTGAGAATATCCATCTTAAATATGTTTGATATACTAATCAAACATTCAGTTAACTTGCAATGATGTTGAGAAACAAGGATTTAATGAAATTATAAAAACAAAATACGCCTGAAAAACAATACAAATTTCTTAAATTTGTATGTTTAAAAGAATAAAAGAAATAAGTTTTTACAAACTTTTATATTAAACATTTAGAAAGATAACACACATAAATGTAATTTTTTCCCAATGATTTTCAGCAGTAATCTACATGTAAGCTAAACAATTTATGTAAACTTTAAAATGCTGATAAAAACATGCACTGTTAAAAAGTAATGAAAATTAAAAATTATCAGTTAATTCACCATTCATATAATTCAAACTGCTAGTGTTAAGCTGGCTTGAAATTGTTGAATCAGACAACCATGATTATCAAGTTGGATTTAACTTTCAAACAAAAATGGTCACATACTAAACTATTCGCTGTTTTTTCAGACTCTTTTTAAATAAACCAAATATTCCTGAAAACATTACCCATAATATACATGCATCACAGCAGAGTAAAACTTGATATTAAGTTACTTAGTTAAGAAAAGAATATTCTCTTACTTCCTGTGAAAATGGATACTTGTAGTTCATATCAGAATATCAAAATTAATATCTATTTAAATTTGCCCAGATATTTTAGCCAAATTTTATTTCTTGTTTTAGCTTAAAAATTTCTTTATACTTTCTCTACATTTCTAATGCAGTTTCAATAAAATTCAATATATACCTGCATTGTATATTTTAAATTCATGGACAATATTCATCATTTCACTAAAAAGATTTAATAAAGATCCATTTTGAATTGTTTTTATTTATTAATGTTGTCAAATTTATTTTCTTTCAGTCCTTGTTTGAACTTAGAAATTTCTTGATACTTTCTCTACACTTCTAATGCAGTTTCAATAAAATTCAATACATACCAGCATTGTATATTTTAAATTCATGGACAATATTCATAATTTCACTAAAAAGATTTAATAAAAATCCATTTTTCAATTTTTATTTATTAATGTTGCAGAAAATGTTCAAGTCCGAACACAGTTTGGCAAGTGGTTTAAATCATGTACTATAAATTCAATTACCTAAACTGGATATTTAAGAAACGTTCCCACATTTGATAGGAAGAAAAAGATACTGCAGCCGATATGTAAAATATTAGCTTCATATTAAAAAACCCAATATAACAACAGCCACTTTTTTAAACCATAAAACTGAAGCCTTAAAAATAACTAAAACACTAAATTTATTTATCCTTGTAAATTTTGTGAAAATGTTTATGAAGAGTACTAATTCTTTGATCAAGTAATATTATCATCACATTTCACTGGCTTAAGCTTAATCAAGTCATTATACAAAATGCATATAAGATAGTGTTGTCTAATTATAAACTTACCAGAAATTTTCAACTCTTTAAATTTTTAAAAATTAATTGCAAAACATATCCCAAGGATGTTATATACATTTTATAATTACATAAAATAATCATGAGTTCTTTGTACCTCAACAAAAAACTTTTAAACATTATAATATCATGCTGCTACATCAGAAATTTTTTTCAGTATTTTAATTTTAAACATAATAATCCAAGGCTTACCAGCCACTCTCAGTTTAACTAATAATCCTTATATCATACATCTCCTTATTACTAACATTCAGTTCAAAACAATTAACGTTTGTCACAGTGTTTTTATATAGTTATACAAAACTAATATTGATACCTTTGGAAAATTCATTTTAATTTGAAAAAACTGCCAGTAGCTTTATGAAACGACAACAGTGTATTACAAAGGCTAGTTGCAAAAACGTTTTGCTGTTGTTACTGTTATAACTATAGGTAATAAAATTTGCTTTTCTAGGGAATGAGTGGTTCTCTAGATATGAAGTGAGCATTCTTTTAAATTTATATACATTGTTCTGCTCCATTCACTTAGTATATTGATTAAGGTATAAAATAAATCTCCTAAGCTGCCCACACTTTATGCTGTTATCAGAATTTGGTCAAAAATAACTTTAATGGTTACACCATTAAATATTTCACGTTTGCCATAGTTTTACTCCTAAGTTTCAATCTACGCTAAGCCTACATAGTTTTCTTTCTGATCTGTTCTCAATAATTAAGTTGAAGGTTTATTATAATAACAGCTTGTGGTTGGTTTCTAAGCAACAATATTTCACAAGTGAGCCTTCATAAATTTATGGGTATAGAATCTATACCTCTTCAAGTTCTTCCTCTGTCCACATCTCAACTGGTCTATCGTATTCATCTCCACTATTATAACCAGAATGATCATTTTCTTCTGACACCTCCAACAGCGGTACTTGATTATTTTGTCTTTCTTGAGAAGTATTATGACCAGTCTGTGATGTTCCAGGGTTAGAAAAAGCTTGAGATACGTTTGTCCTATGGAGATTATGTCCAGAATGCCCCGTATGTGAATGGCCATGAACATGAGAATGTGATTTCCGAGTGGTTCGATGGGGTGAAGCTCTATGACGACGCTTGGAATGACTAGGTCCACCATCTACACTATCATATTCATCAAAATTTGAACTAGAAGGATGAGCTGGTCTTTTATCATCCCTTGTTGGTGGTGGCGGCCACCTTGGAGGTGAATTTCTCCCAGAAAATGCAAATCGTTCTCTGTTTTCCTGAGAATGACTCTGATGCCCATGGCGTTCGCCATGATATGAATGAGTTGCAGGATCAGAGACTTCCCCTTCATTTTTCGACTGTCCAGACTTCTTTTTGGGTAAAATTGTCATATTTAATTACTAATTCACTTAATTTTGCCCTTTAACACACCATAATTTATTGTTCAGCCGCGAGAAACATTCACAAGAAACACCCTTCTTCACCTAAACAGGATTAGAAATTTTGTACATTCGAAGATGGCGACTACATCAAATGTGACGTCACCTTCGCACATGCTCTTAAACGCTTTGAAGTATATTTAATTGTTTATTTATTCCAAAAATGATTGCCTGCTAGACCAACAGCAAAAAGACATTATTGAAACTTTAAATATTCGTGAATTATTCTATATTAACTTTGAATTGGTTTAGCGTCTGAATAAGGTATATGTAGAATAAAATACTACATTTGTGTAGTATTGTAAATTTGGAGAACCAGTGATTCCTTAGAAAAGCTGATCTTCATATTATATCATTGCGCCTAATTTATTATTAAAATACCCTATACATATTAGAGATCTTCATATTATTCCGAACAGCAGCAATATATTTTTGCAATTAACCTTTGTAATAGACTGTATTTTTTATGAGTGCTTATAGAAAAACTTGTGAAATAGTAAATGTCAAAACAAACACACACATATATAACTAATAACCTGTGTGGTTTTTCACAAGATAGGCCTTCATTTATGAGAGATAAATAACTAGATATTCAGTGAATGAATTACTGTTCAGATTTTGTTTCTGTTTAGGCTTAACGTCACTAAAGCACGACACAACTTTGGATCTGTGTCTATATATTTTTAAGTATCCTGTCCTAACGGAATTACAATAATATATTTGTAAGATTTGTTTGTTTTTATATTTGCAAATAGTATTCCTGTTGCACCTTAATCACTTGTATTTTTTTAAATAATTTGATATGATTTTATATATGGACAAGTTTGTAAGTCACCAATTAATTTGAAAAGGATTCAGCTGAAAACCGTCAGTAATAAGTGAAGCAGCTTGTTAAAAAACGACAAATATTCAAGAATTAAAACACAAACTAAAAGAATTTTAGATATCTTTCAACAATGGTTGACGAACTTAAAATCAGGCGACAGAAAATCAGGAAAATGTGAATATTAAGTCAGAAAGTTGTTAAAAACAAGGAAAATGGGAAAAATTCCAAAGGAAAAATTTATTTGTTTACTTCTGGACAGAATCACGGAAGAAATTATTTTTTATTATAATGTTATCAAGAGTGACATTTAAACCAAAAGTTAAAAAAAGGAAAACTAATGAAGAATTTGACAAACAGCAATTACAGGACACTGTGATAAATCGAAAGGGATCCAAAGAATGACTTCAAAAGGCTCAGGGTAAATATATAGCAGTTATTATGGTGTTAACGTTTTTTGTTTTTTTTTCTGAGCTGACGAAGCATGATTATAATTCATTATACTTTTCATAACACATTGGTATCAGTACAAGTATTAGGAAAAATTATCACCAAATACAAAAGCTATGTAGGACTGGCTGCTGAACTTGAAAAAAGGAACCAAGCAAAATAGAGATGGAAGTGGACATATAACTTGATCCGGCTAATGATCACATAGCATACTAAGCTATCTCGACTTTACATGGAGAATAAAATCCCTACATTACTGGCTTCCACACTTTGTCTATCGTAAAGCTTGGTTTTTGAATAAAATCTCAGCTTTCATCACTATACCCTTTTCTTAGTTAACTTTAGAATACTAATTTTATGACTATTTTACAACAGAGTAACATTTTACGATAGAAAATTCGTGTTTTCTTTGTTTTGCCAGTGAAGAAGATAGTAATAAATGGATTTTATTCTCCTTGTAAAGTCGTGACGGCTTAGTCTGCTCTGTAATCATTAGCCGGATCAAGTGATATGTCCACTTCCATAAATATTTTGTTTGGTTCCTTTTTCCAGTTCACTACCCAGCCCTACATTGCTTTGTTATTTAGCGATATTTTTTTCCTAATACTTGTTTGTTTATTTTTTTAATAAGATGGCATACGTTGGTTACTAGGTTATAGAGTGTATTCTAAAGCTTTATAAATTTTCCATTGAATAATAATAAAATAGGTAGTCAAAGATCGTGAAGACTGTTTTGCTCAATCAAATGATGGTAAAATTACAGTTACTGCTAAAACCAGGTAGACTTTAGGCCTATTGAAGAAAGGTGATGATGAACGAAAGTAAGAAATCTCGGTTTTGTCTATTCGCCAGTTTTCGACTTTGGGACACTTTGGATAACTGAAAAGCGGCATAAACACCAGAGAGAGAGCGACTATGCCAGATAACTCTTCATATCTATCTTCTGATGACCTGTAGGAAAAAAAATCCAGATGAATTTTGTATTCTTTTAATACAGGCGTCCTTGCCATCCATATGTTACGACAGCAGAAGTCACGTGGCGCTGGTAAACATCATGATATTCTCGAAGGATCTTGACTTTTCCTGGCAACTCTAGCCTTTTCTAGCTGCCCTCTATTTTAATATATAAGCCCGGCAAATAAACCGGAGAAATATATAGCAGATTGAAGAGAGATATAGAGACAGATAATTGAGTCAAGTGAGCGGTAGTGACCGTAAGTAAAGAGCGTGAATCGTTGTGGATTATACCGTGTGTTTAAGTGACTGTGGAAATTCTGTGTATTGCAAAGTTGTATTGAGAAATAATAAACCAGTTTTATTTAAGAAAGGACTTGTGTCGCTAAAGTTTCGTCGGAACGAATTTACGGAAAATTAACTAACGAACGGAGGCGTAACAATATCAATAATAAAGATATTCAGCTCTTTAAAAAAAGCTAGTAAAAATATTTTATTCTCTATACAATAACAAACGGGAAGTAAACCATGACCATGAAAGATGAAATTAGGGTTATTAAAGTTCTCCCATAGATGACACTATTAGCTGTTTGTTTAATTTAAACTTTGTTTTGTTTATTTATTTGTTTTTAATTATGCACAAAGCTACACAAGGGCTATCCGTGCTCTGCCTACCACGGGTATCGAAACCCGGTTTCTAGCGTTGTAAGTCCGCAGACATACCGCTGTGCCACTGGGGGGCAAATTTAAATTAATAACAGCAACTAGCATTTAATATCTAAGCTATGCATGAGCCAAGACTGTTTTGAAAGAAGTATTTGGTAACTGAATAATAACTTATCTTCACTGTGATCTTGGGCACTAAACCAGAGTGATTGTCTCAATGTCCGACAATATGGTTCCTGGTCAAGTTGAGAATTGTTATTGTAAAAAGTCTTAAATTGACTTACAATTTAACGATGGACAAGGCTTTATGGCAACATGTAATGTTGGTGTAACGAAGATGCTTGTTGATAGTTACCAATAATTTTAACCAAAGGCATGTCCGTAGAAAAGCCAGTGAATTACTGCTTTGATACTCAGAATCTTGAGAAAGATCATCGGTTTTAGTGGAATAAATGGATTTTCATCAAGTTGCTCCATTTAACAGCTTCTGTATACATGAATTGTTCGAGTTTATTTCCTAAATTCCGTCACGAAAGGTTTACTTATCCAAAATTAATGTTTCATATTTCAGTCCCTAATAGTTAAAAGTTAGGAACATGTCATTTACTGACCACAATTCTTTTGCAATTGACCTCTCCGCTGTTCTTATTCAAATGACCATCTTCTGTTTCTTTGCCATTTTTAGCCAGTAATTCATCCTCAAATGTTATATTCATTGTAAATCTTTGTTTTTTACTTCATCAAGAGATTATTTTTAACTGATTTGTACTTAGTCAAAGTAAGTTATTACTTTTTGTCATAATTATTCATAAATTCGTCCTCATAATTTTTTTTTATTGGTTAAAGTGTTATTTTCAGCAACTTTCCTTTTTTGTAGCTGGACAAATAAGTAGTCCCAAGCAACTCTAACATCTATAAATCGTAAATAACTTATCGGCTTCTTTGGTAATCTTGAAAAGGTTTCACCTTCATTAAACATTTCCTTGGATCGAGTGTGGCCCAGTGGTTAGCATAGACGAAACTGTGAATCAGGAGGTTCGTGGTTCGCATCCCATTCCTCTAAATCTTTAGAGTCATGGGTGCGTAACAAGAATGACGATTAAATCCAATTATTCGAGTAGAACAGCCCAGAAGTTGGCTATCGGCCTTCCCTCTAGTTTATCAGTTCGAAATTGGGAGAGAGATAGTGCAGATATCACTTTGTGAAACAAACAAACTTCTAACCTGCGCTATATTTTAAATAACAAAAATTAACAAATATTTTGTGGTATTCCTATTATGAAAGATCTATAAAACAAAAATCCGCTTTCGAAGAAATAGATTTGTATCAAATCTGGCTTGTTTAACTCACTAATTAAAATTTTACAATAAACTAATATGGAGTTTCTATCACGATGTGAAATAAAGATGGTAAACTGACTAAATATAGGAAGTATCACCCAGTAAAGGAAACAATAAGGACCATTATAATCAAGAAAATATTTTGAATTATCGATATTTCCCTTTCATACTTCACTAGAGTCACAGCTCTTAGCCATGCACTACAGCTGTAGTTCTTAGCTATGTATTATAGTACAGTTCATCTGTAGTTCTTAGTCGTGTAACACAGTTGTAACTCTTATTTATGCACTACAGCACAGTTATGAGTAATCTTGGTCATGTACTACAGCTCTAACTCTAAGCCAGGCACTACAGAACAGCTATTAGTCATATCCTATAGCTGTAGTTTTTAGTCACGCACTACAGATGTAGTAATTAAATATTGTTATTTGCGAGACAAGCAGTCTATTTTTTTATTTTAAGCACTTCTACAACATATTACTCGCATTTTTAACGGTGAGTGTGTTATAAGAGCAACAGCCAATCCCTTAGCGTGAATGGTATGGTTGGATATTGTTGACTTCTTGTCTTACCACTAGTCATGGCTGGAGACGGCTTGAATGGGTAATGAAGAAAAACTTTAATATAAGTTTAACATAACAGCAAATGTACAACGTTTCGACAAGATTTTGTCATCCTGATGACCTTCTGTCACATTTCAACAGTTGTGGGTAAATACTTTTCGTGCGATAAGGTACTTAATTTATTTTACAGGCTACATGAGATGATCATTTGTACTATCTTATATTAAGTTACATTGGCCGTTTGTGAATTTATATGTCAGCAACCTCCTTCCACAGTTTTGGAGCTATCAGGACCAAACTTGACAGGCG